AAAGAAGTCCTGTACGGATGTTGAATTGAGCCCAGGAGAGCAGTATTTGATCATGGGAAAAGAAGCCTTAAAGATAAGCATTGGTTACAATTTCAAGTAAGTAACTTACCATCAGAATATGCAGAAATTTAATCTTAAATTGTGCTGTGAAGTGGCATGTGTTTGTATGTAATAGTTTTTATGTAATGTATAATTGATTTAATTTTTTAAGTATTAGTTCAACCAATAGTTACACAATGTGTTTTCAGATGTGTACATTTCAAACAGGATTATGAACACAAAGCAAGCAATTTCATATTGTCTTTTTTTTTTTTTTCTGTTTGACATTTTTCTCCCCAAATCTTTGATCATTTTCTGTTGTCTTCTTAGATTCCAGTACCCTTTGGACTCCAGCACTTGGATTGAGTGGTGGCCTTCAAATACAGCATGTACCTTTTGTCAGGAGTTTTTAAACACAATGGAGGATTTTGCTGAAGATCTCATCATCAGTGGCTGTTGATTTATTTGGAGAATTTTTAAATTAAAAATATAGATAAAATCTCATGTATAATTAAAAAAATAAATAAAAATCCTCACCTGTTTAGTAATTCTTTCCTGAACTTAACATTCATTAAGAGTTCATCTTGAAAAATGGTCTTTGCTTGTATTTCATAGCCATTCTCTTATAACATACTAATGTTCAAAGTATGGTTATTAAGCTTGGATGGGAGAATAATGCAGAATACTGCAAAGACATTTGAAGTCAGATGAAGTGGATTGACTGTAATAACAAACATGTAAAGTACTGCCTTGTGCCAGAATAACACTTAAAAGCATTAAAATCTGATGTCTTATTAAAACATAACCCTTAAACATAAGCCTTAAAAAAAAAAAGGAAAGGAAAAATAAAATTGTTTTTCAAATAATGTTGTTATAGCTTTAATTTCCAAGCAACTTTTTTAAAAAATAAAAAATCTTTCTAACCTAGCAGAATAGCATCCAAGTATTTAGGACAAATACCTTACTGTAGCCCCAGTTTGTTTATAGTGACGATTTTAAAATGTTCAGTTTCCAACTTCATTAAAGTATTGCAGCGTAAGAATGATGGAAGACAATTTCTCACGCTATTTTAGATTATGCCAATAGCCATACTGAAGCCAGGTACTCCTGACCCCATTGTGCTTTTATAGTTTCCTTAGACCTGCAGATGACAAAATCTTCCTCTTTTTACCTCAGCTAGTATCCAGGCATTTAGCTTACCATGTTGAGTGACATTTTTCATTCAACATGTGGTTGGAGTAATAGATTTTTAAATTAAACAGTCCTGAAGATTTGCTAAGTTTTAATAAATTAATTTCTTCCAGTCCATATCTGAAATGCAAAAATGCACTTTAACAGTGTAGTGAAACACTGCAATGTGTCTCAAACAAACGGCCTCCAGCCCCTGCAATGGACATGAAACACACAGAAATATGGTTCATATTCTGTAGATTGAAACTGCTATGGGCATCTTAACTCTTTACTTTTTATAAATAAATAAACTGAATTTATGATGTTAAAAAACAGTCAGGAAGACCTTAACCTATACCTGGTGACATTTCAATTATGGAGTGATGCTTATATATGTTGAAGATACTGTTGTTTGCAGAGCATTTTGGCATGGAAGGTTCTCCAGAAAAGTAAAACATTCAATAAGAAGCTTTTTAAAATCTTATTTGTGTGTGAAAGAGAGAACTTTCATTACAAGTTTGTTGAATCTGCACAGACAGTTATTATTTGTGAAGTGGCAGTAGTATATTCAGAGGACTAATAGTGTTTTGTAGGGAATTTTTTCAAGAAGAGCCAACAGAATGATTTGGACATGCCATGACAGTTTTTCTGATGAGACAAAAAGCATTTTTCTGAAGTGCTGCATAGGTATGCTGCAAAAGCAAAGCTATGTTTCATAAAAACCTTGATATTTTGCAAATAATGAAGTCACGCAATAATTTTCCACTCATCTCAAACTTAGGAAGAATTTAGTTTACATAAGGATTTTTTTTCAGTCTGTTATGTATATTAAAACAAGTTGAGCAGTCCGCTACCTTGTCCTCCTTGCTTATGTTAGATAGAAGAGTGCTGATTGTTTTGCTTATATGTCTTCAAATCAGGCCTGTTATGATGAAAAAAATTAATGTGCTTCTGCTTTATAAGAGGTATTTTTTAATTAATACCAATACTCAGAATACAGTAACTATTTTGTAATTTGCATGTTCACAAAGGTGGAATTGCCTGTGATGTATTTGTCTGCAAAACCATTATCAAGAAAACTTCATCTTTTCTTGATTTTTAGATTTCAAAAGTACAAATTATACTCTCTTGCAGGTGATTGAGTATCTTAATAATATGACAAAAATCCCATCACACTAATGTAAATGTTGTTACCTCAAGGTTAAAAGAAGGCAGTGTTAAACCAAGTATTAAAAAGAAAATAGTCATGCTGCTACAATGAAAACGCAAGTGTGTGATACGGGGGAATCCCAATGCGAGAGATTTAATCTAGTCTTTCCCCTTGCTGATGATGTGCTAAGAATTTCAGTCATTAACCAGTTTGGTAAGTCCTCTTTCCAGGCACTGTTAATTATTATTTGTTATATGAGATATTTCAACCAATTTTAAATACTTTTGATATTCCTGCATTTGGTGTTATTTCTGACAGATAGTGTTGGTATGTCACCCATCTGTGGAGAGAAAATAGACTATTTTAAAAGTAGTAGGATGTTTCTCACTGCTTGTATTTTAGGAAGACTGTATTTTGGCTATTAACTCTCCAGTCTTGGTAAAAATTCTATGAACAATTGTGATAATAAATAACAATAGCATAAGTTAAATTACAATAATATTCAGAACTCACGTGGAATTATATTTTGTTAGTATTCTTAATGGAACACACTTTAACGTTAGTTTAAAGAAAGCCCAGGTATGTTCATGGCATTTTATCATGTATAAAAGCTTGCTTTCCAGAGAGATAATGCTTCTTTACTTTTGAAAAGTCCTTTGCCAGGAGAAATGACTCCCCTTTTTATTTAGGCATGAGTATTTCTCACTGTCTATTAAGGAGTATACACAGCTCTTGAAACACTCCCAGTTTTCCACTGTGACAGAAACAGCAGAGGGAGCACAAGAACATAACTTTCATATAGGTTCTATAAATATTCCATAAATACTAGTACTTTACTTCTCCCCCCAAAAAAAAAATCTTTTAAAAGACATTTTTCAAAAGTTTGTCTACTGAAAATGCTGCATTCATTTCCTAGTGGATGGAAAAAATATGTATTTTAATGTGTAGTGCCATATTAAATACATGTCTGCTGGCAAAATTTTTTTCTTCATGTCACCCAAATTATTTGTCAAAGAAATTTGCCTGCAAGACAGTAACGACCCCACAATCTCTGAGATTCTTGGACAAATTTTAGATTTACCAGAGACGTTATCATAGTCAGGGCTGCGTGATAAAGTTCGGTCAGAGGATGCAAAGTCTTTTCTGATCAGCCTAGAGTTCTGAGCAGAAGAGAGGCTGTAAGTGGCGATACAACCAATAGGTCGGGGTGCAGTACTCATTTTAAGAATTGCATAATTACCTCATTTCTGCCCATGGAGAAATGTGATATTTGAGAACTCAGAATGGGAAATGTACTTCAGTGCTGCTTCCTGCCTTTTACAGAGATAACGTAGTCTAAATGCAGCTTAAAACCACAGAAATAAGGAAATTCAGCCTAACAAAGTCCTACTTTTCTTGTATTAACCTGTGCATTTTCTGGCAAGTGCATTATGTACCTGGTAACATGTAGGGAGTGACACTCAAGCTACAAGGTAAAACATGTTACATGAAACAGGAGATGTTTTAATTTTAGAATTACCTGGAATTTGTGATTTTAGTATAGAGGGTATTTTGGCAGACTGGGTTACTGGGTGGTTTAATTTTATATGGTCAGCTAGCTTCAAAAGCTTCCTACCACTGTGTACATTGTGCTGATAATGACATTGTGAGTTTCTCAAAATTGTTAGTCTTGCAGTAAAAGACATTGATCTACAAGCATAAATAGGGATGCTTAATGTCATTCGTTTGCATGAAGAAATCTTGCAATGCTGAAAAGTATTGGTAGCAAAATACGTGCAGTAGCAGCCCAGAGAAACAACATGTAAACTAATAAAACCTGTGTTAAATAGATATGAGGAACAGAAATTAGGGAAATGAAAAACAATAAAACAAAATCTAGAACCATAGAAGGGCAACCTGTTTCTAAATTCATAAAAGAGCTAACCATAGTAGTTTTTGGTTTGCAGTGCTGCCTTTTCACTCTTACACTCCTTCAGCCTGTCTCTTCTGTCTTGAAATCTCTGTTCCTGTAAACCTGTAGCTATGGAGGAGGAGTTACCAGAACAAGATTTCTGAGTCAGGTCCCTGAGACTCTATTTTTAGGGCAACATATGGACTGATGCCTATTAGAGAATACCACTTACTGCTTTTTTCGTCTTTCCTCTTCATTTGGTTCATGTCTTCACAATTCAAATTTGTATGGTTCGGGAATGACCAAGTCATTATTTTTCCAGCCTTCTCGTTGGTTTGGTTAAGTAAATTCTTACTGTGGTCCTTAAATTTTTGATCTGCATTTAAGTATGCTATTAGTGCATGTTGATTGACTGGCCATTTATTTTAGTGTATGCCCAATGATAAATCTTTTTCATTTTTTTGTTGTTTTTTTTTCTTTTCTTCAGGATCATCTTAACGTCTGCAGTTTACTTAGAAGTATAACAGCAAAACCAGTGATGGCTTTAGACTAAAGTTTTCAGTTTTTCTTCATAAGTGATCATACTACAGCACCTCTGTGTTTGGAAGATCTGATGTCAAGCATCAGTACATAAGCCATGAGTAGCTCACATGCTCCCGAAGGACCTATGGAAAAGTACACAAATAATGCTTCTTCCGTATACATTTGTCCTCTGTGCATAATGTTTCCGCAGAATCCAGCACAGATACCATGTGGGCACAGTTACTGTATGTCCTGTGTCATCTGGTTATTAAGGTAATTCTATCATACAAAACAATGGTATTAAGTATTTCCAGTATTCATTAGTCACAGAATCATAGAATAGTTTGGGTGGGAAGGGACCTTTAAAGGTCACATAGTCCAACCCCCCTGCCACGAGCTTAGACCAGGTTGCTCAGAGCCCCGTCCAACCTGACCTTGAATGTTTCCAGGGATGGGGCATCTCCCATCTCTTTGGGAAACCTGGGCCAGTGTTTTGCCGCTCTCAGTGTAAAAAATTTCTTCCTTATATGTAGTCTAAATCTTCTCTCCTTTAGTTAAAAAACATTACCCCTTGTCCTATCGCAACAGGCCCTGCTAAGAAGTTTGTCCCCATCTTTCCTGTAGACCCCCTTTAAGTACTGGAAGGCCGCAATAAGGTCTCCCCGGAGCTTTCTTTTATGCTCAGTCCCGGTGGAGGAGCTGGAGGTTAAACAGGTGTGAAGAGAGTCTTGCTCTTCTGCTATTATGGATAATCTTTGCCTGCTGGTATAAAATTATGTTTGTACGGCTTTGTAAATATATTCAGCCACTTCATATGCCCTCTGTGAAAGAAACTATTTTATTACATAGACTTTCCTTTTGTTCTCTTTTTTGAATTCCTGTATTTCCATTCCCGACACTAACTGATGCTATTTTTATGCTCTGCTTTCTTGTTTAAAAAAACCCAACAAAACAAACCTAAATAATATGCGTGCCATTCCTTACTTATATTTTAAGAAACAGTGGACTGAATCAACGTCTACTATAACTTAGGTGGGTTTACTAGAAATGTTACTTTGGCATTTGATGACTGAATTTGAGTTAAAAAGCTTGCCTTGCCTCCAGGAAAGTGACAGATGAAGGGCCAAATTTCCTTCTCACAGCTCCTGGCACAAATCAGCTTGGTTCTCAGTGGAACTGAGAAGAGAGTTTGATACAAAGTACAGTTGCACACATTTTTATTTTTATTGAATAGTTGCCCAAAAGTAGCACATCTAATAATTTTAAAATTACTGTTTTCCCTCTCTCTTAGGAATATCCCTGATCCAGAGTGTTTAATATGTGGTAAGAAGATAGTCACAGATGATGCAATTTTTAGTTTTGGCTCTGTGAGTATTATTTTTTTTAATCCTCGAAACTTTTCTAAGAAGCATAAGAAGATAACACTGTATCCAATAATAACTGGATGTAAACTCAAATTGCAGAGAGAAGTACACTTAACACTTAGTGAGGTTGTCTAGCAGTCCACCTTTAAACATTTCTACTTCTGAACTGTACAATATAGTTGTGACGATAACTGTGTATTATGAGACCTACTTATGTCTCAAGAATGATATACCTTCTCATAAACCCCTGTTTCTCACATCTAATTATAAACACAGAGATATTGGTTCAACTATCCCTGGTAAGGTGGAACTTGAAGATTTCTTTAAAGCACAATGATGTCATTGTATGAAAAACACCAAATTACATTCAGATGTCAAAGCCATGGGTCATAGTTCTAAGATATCTGTTAGTTAAAATCATTCCCATTCTTATTGCATGGATTAGCTAATATGGCTTTTAAGAACTTTAATTCAGACTCTGCCTATATCATTAACATACCCTTGCTCTGGCATGTGGTTACTAGTGTTTACGAGATTTGCATCAATCTGTTTACTGATTTTGTGTTCACATTATGTGCTAGATAAAACCAGATGAAACCAAGAGCGAGGAGATTGAGAGAATTATAGCCAAGGGCATGAACAAGAATTTTCTTCATTCGCGTCAATCAAATCCATATAAGGTAAGTCATAGTTAACATCTAGAAGAACAATGTAAGAAATAATATTTAATATGAATGGGTTACAAGTAATTCTGCATTGCATAGGAGAATTTCCTATGACCAGCGGGACTAAATCGTCTCACAAGGCTGTTGATGGCTTCTGTTGCAATTTTAAGGGTTCAAGGATTTTCTTTACCTTTTCCAGCTGACACTCTAGAGCACCCTGAATATCATATATGCTTAATATCAAACTGGTACACAGTATAACACTGTGTAAAAGGACAGGTTTTTGTTTCTGTCTTCTACACAGCAGGGTGGGATTTTTATTTTTTTTTGCATAAGCAACATTTAACCTGAAAAAAATCTTAAACATTCCAGTGTTAGAATGTCTGGTTTTTTACATCTGTAAATCTCAAAGGGCTTTACAAAGACTAAAAAAGAATTGTTATTACTGTGATGCATCTAGTACTTAAAATCCAAAACTAGAACAACAAAAAAAATACTAAAAAGAACTTGCAATGGATTAATTTTGTGGGCTCAACGCAGTGAATTATAGATGAGGAAACTGTTTTACCACGAGCAGTCAAATGACTGTCTTAAGGCTACAGACCAGGCCAGTTGCAGAACAGGAACAGTGACTAAAGAATCCTGACATTTAATGCGAGTTTATCAGACCACAGTGACTCTGGAGAAAAAAGAAAGAGAATACAACAGAGGAGATGGCTACCTAAGCAAAACAAACATGTTCTGCTCTTTCCTCTCTGTGTCAAAAAGGCTCACATGAGTGACGAGTAATATTTTAAGATCAGGCACCAAAATACATTTTCTCATTAACTGCTAATGGCAAAACAGAGACATCTGAAAGAATGTTGACTTTATCAAGCGATCTTAAATGAAATTACAAAGACCAATACAGTCTTTATGGGTTGGGCGAAACAAACCTTGGGTCCTGTGAGCTTATTCAGAAGTGTAATTTTTGAAATTTAAATTATACTTCAAAAAACTTAAAAGACAAGGAACATGTCTGATTTTCACAGGTGACTTGTGAATTTTAAGTTCTATTGATTTTTAGTGAGACAGACTACAAAAAAGCTTCAGACTACTCCTGAAGACCTAGGAACCTAATTTAAAAATTACATATAAAAATGCTGCACTTAAGTATCAAACTAGCAGTCCTTAGTTTTAAAAAAGTCTTTAATCTTATTTGTTGTGTCTCTGTTTCCATACAGAATTATCCAATATATCATTGAGGTCATTAAAATATTTTAAATGTGTGTATTTTGTATGTGTATATTTTTATATATATTTAGGCACATGTGGTACGGAGGTGTGTATATATACCAGTGTAGGAAGATTTACCTTCCTCATGTGGCCTGGCACGACTTTCATATGAAAACCATGTGGGGGAAAGGTACATCTATGTCTTCATCTGTTTCACACATGCAAATTATGTTGGCAGATTTCCATCAGATCTAGTTAGTAAGACAAGCGAAGATGGAAATGACAGGGGATTGATTTTAGAATCTGGTGTGCTAACCTTAGTGACTTGCAGTTGGAGAGTTCTGAGGTACAAAGCAACTCACAGGATTAATCCCAGCAAAAATGGAAATTCTTGGAATAATCACAGCTTAGCTGACTCATCTGTATTATGAAATGGAAATTATTTCAAAGCACATTCTGCACTTCCATGCTTACTGGGGATTCTGGACATCAGAAAGGTCCTTTTATATCTGAATTGTACACAATGTTTTTCTATTCCTTGGTTGTTTATATACAGGGTGTGCAAGTCTCCAAATGTTCCAGGCTTTGAATCAGAGGCTAATAGCTTTAGTGGTTCAGAAAAACATGCATTTGACTGCTACACTTTTGTAGTCTACCCAAAGGCCAGCCAGCCTCTGTATGTGCGATTACTGCTCTGCTTACATATTAATGCACTTGCCCAGAAAGCTGTGTGCTTTAGTCCAAATTTATTCTCACATCTCCTAGAACAGAGGTGACTGGCCTCGTCTGTCAATTCTGGCGAGATACCAAGGGCCATGTGTAAACAGGATTTTTATTGTCATTTAGTGACATAGCATATAATAGAAAAACTAGCCTCCAAGGTGAACTTCAGAGTTGCTCCTAGTGATATGCACAGGTAAACTCTTAAAGCAGGACCCACTAAACTCAAATAAATGAGTTTGGCATTATACTTTTATTCATTTTTAATATATTTCCCAGATCAGCCTTTGAATAAGAAAATTAATCAGATGCCATTCTAATGTTATTCTCCCTGAATACTCTTGGCAGATATGTCAGACCTGAATTGGTTGGATTCCTGAGATAACAACTATCCTAAGGGTTAATATTATGTCAGCCTTTTTGTTATTTTTAAAAATATTTATTTCTGTAAGTTTCCATTTCTATTTTGCTGATTTTTAGATAGCTAAGTGTCACAAAATGAACTGATTTCTCTCTTCACGTCATTGCAACCAGAAATTAATCTATTGATCCAAGCTAGTAAGTGACTTGAATAGACCAAATTCCACCCTATTATGCCTAGCGACACATGAAACCCGCACTCTTTTGGTCTGGTCGTGAAAGCCGCTGTGCTGGGTCTAACTACTGTGACTAATTTAGGAAGAGAGCCAAATGGTGCCATTCTCTGGCCATTGCTTTACTAGCAGTGCAGAAACAATTTTGTGTATATAATCTTTCAGGGTATGCCACAAGCTCTAAGTAGCCTTAGCCAGATGAGTTCTCTCACCAAGTTTTTTTTTTAATTAGGAATACCCTACAATTTTAGAATAATGCTAAATCCCTGTAGCAGATTAAAATTCTTGCATTTTAATACCTCCATACTTTTAAGTGACTGTTGTAATTCTTTCTTGGCTGATCTGAAAACATACTGTATTAAACACCAGGTGAAAGAGAAAACCGCTTACATGAGCTAGTGGGATGCAAACGCAAGTCCCAGTTATGACATAATTTTTATTTTGTTATGATGGTACACTCAGAATCTGAAATCATCTGGAAATGGAGAAATACTCACTTGATCACACTGAATTGTTTGTTCAGTGTATTTGGGAAATGTAAACCCAGAATATCACACCAAAATTACTTTCTATCTTTGTATGTTTCATCTTTGATGAAAATGTTCAAAATAGGCAGAGCCCCTCTTCTGAATCAGCAGGTGGGATCCTGCATTGGGTGGAGCAACACAAAATCCTAGAGTTGAATCCTTAGCAAGATTTCTTTCGAGTTCAAAAATCTTTTTTCATAAATAATCTCAAACTCTTATTTCCAAAAACAAAGAGTTGTGGAATCTACTGACAGGGGTCACTAGATTCATTTATAGTAGGGGTGTGGAAGAGATGACTGAAAACATACTAAGAAAATCCTTTTTTTTCTTTTGAGTGAATATTATTTTGTAATTTAAAAAAATCACACTCTCTCTGAGAGCTGCCAATTTGGTGTTCATCCATCATGAGTTGTCTCACTTGACCCTACCTACAGAGGCTTATTTTCAGACTATATAAATGTTAATGTTTATGCATGTCTAATTCTTACAACACAACACACTGAAATTTGGCATGGCCATCAGTTATTTTCCAGTAAAAAAACACCTTATAGGAGTTACATATGCTTTCAATTTTTAAGATATTTAATAATGTTTTCACCTCTAATTAGGAGAAATATCTGGGTTTGGCTCTTTCATTCTCCTGGGAACTAAGAGTTTGGTTTTGCCAGTTGCTGGGTCATTACAAAATTCCATTCCTCGTGTTAAATTTTGCTTTTAAGTTCTGAATGAACTTGGAATTTGGATACATATTTAAACATTAACTGATTTCCTGGAAAATACTAAACTGAATTAAATGCCACAACTATCATAAAAAGAACATTCAAGTTCAGAAAACGACAGCAAAGAAATCTTGAGTAAAGATTGCTATATTCAAACCTTTCTTTTCTAACCCAAGAAATATTTGTTACACACAGGTGGCTATTTATAAAATACTTATATTTGCCCATGTTCATAGCCAGAAGTCATGAAATGCAGACTATTCCTAAGGTGCCGCAGTTCACACTCTATTTCCTTTATTGATTTGCTACTTGACAACTAAAATGGCAATTTCTTTTGCAAGTAAAGCAAGCAAAAAGTTATATCTGATGCACTTTGAATCAGCTGAGATATTAAACAACAAAAATTGGGGTTTACAATGGAAAATCAATTTTTTTCATAATGACAGCAGCCCCGCTGGCGCCAGTTAAAAGTAGTCCAAAAGAAACAGAGAGAGGTTCAGAGTCTGGGTTTAGTACACTGCAAGCCGGACCTGTCACGGACTTGCATTGTCTAATTTGGCTTTACAAGAGTAACCTCAGCAGAGCATTCTTTCCACGGGATATTATATGTTCTCTGCAATTTATATTGTGAGGCCATGGAGCACATCCACAGCTAATGCAGATCAGTGTTGCTGCAATTATTTTGGAGGAGCTATACTTTTTATACTTCATATCTAGATCTGTAGATACAGCACTTCTTTAACGGAATCACAAAAAGTAAATGTCAAAATTTCTCTCCAAAGAGAAAATATTTTATAAACGTCTCACACATCTATACATGAGGAGACTTACAATTGACTATGCCAGTTTATACCTGCTGGAATGTGATTTACAATATATAGGCATAAATGCTGGTGTTGGTGACAGCCTGGGCATAAACTGCAGCTGTAACTGCAGACTGGCACTCACTACGTGCCCGCATTGTCTGTCTCTGCCAGACTCTGATTAGCCAGTTTTCCGTCATTATTTATAAAAAGCAACATGCCATAAAAATATCATTTTCACTGCCCAAATCATAAAATTTTCCATAAAAGCCTACTGCTGTTGGGTCCCAGGTCCTAGGGAATATTCAGCCTCAGGCTCTGACAGCTAGGTAGAAATGGGTATTAGTTTCCACCATTAGTGTAATTCCAAAAATTTGGACTCACCAGTCTATGCAATATTAAAAGGCGTTTTGTTTCTAGCCCCAGTTACTTGGGATG